GGCTCCGCACCCCCAGGCTCCGCTCGCTCAGGCTCAGCACCCCTAGCAGGACGAGAGTCGACAGCTACCTCGACAGGCTCAACCGGGTCTACCTGGGACACACCTAAGGGAGCGGCACCCTGAGGGGGGAGGGGGTCTACCACAGCAGCACCTGGCGCGAGGAAGAGAGGCGGGGGGGGGAGCGGGGCAGTGCGGTAGGGGAAAAGGCGGTAGTAGTGCACGGACTCATCAAAAGTGACGTCCTGAGAGGGCAGGACCCGGCGCGAGGTGGCGTGGTAAAACTGCCAGCCAGACGCATCCGGGACAAAGCCCAGGAAGACACAAGGAACAGCGCGGGAGGAGAGCTTGTCCGCGGACGTATCGCGCACAAAAGCTCGAGATCCCCAGACCCGAAAACGCGACGCATCGCCAACCTCTCCCGTCCAACGCAGTGTCGGGGAAGTCTCCGGCAAGGAGACACGGGGCCAGAGGTTGAGCTGATGCGCAGCGTAGCGGACCGCAAACGGCCACAGAAAGTGGGGGGCAGCCGCATGGATCAAGGAGGTACGAGCGACCTCCATGACCAAGCCAATGCGGCGCTCAGCAACCCCATTCTGCTGTGGAGAGGCCGGAAGCGTGAACGACTGGCGAATGCCGTGCTCCGCACAGTAGGCTGCCAAGAGGTCGGAGGAGAACTCACCACCTCTGTCAGAGTGCAAGCGCAAGACAGGAAAGTCCGAGTGGAAACGCTCGCTAAGCTGGAGACGAGAAGCGCGGATCCAAGGGATCAAAACATCAGGGACCTCACCCTTGGTGCGCAAGGGGAAGACCGTGGTGTAGCGCGAGTAGTCGTCAACAACTATCAGGAAGTACCTCTCCTGACCCTGACCACGGACGCGGGCTGGGCCCCACACGTCCATGTGGAGCGTCTGCAAGGGAGCAGTCGTCGGGGGAAACGAGGAGGAGTGAGGAGCGGCGCGCTGCCGCCCCTCGACAAAGGGAAGACAGGGAGGAGCAGGCGAGGGTGGAAGGGGAGGGAGAACCCTGGGAAGACCAGAGACGAGGTACCGTTTGTGCATGGCACGAAGGCGCTGCACGGACGGGTGACCAAGTCGGTGGTGCCAGAGGACGGTCTCGTGCGCCAGAGAGCGACACGAGCAGGGGGCCGACAGCTGACCTGACGCAGACGCAGACGCAGCTACCTGAGGGGACTCAGTGGTCAGTGTGTACAGGTCCGACCCCGGCTGCCGAGTGAAGGTAGCCAGGTGACGGCCCGTCCGAGCACACGTGCAGTGTGTCACGCGCTCGTAGGCAGGGGTGAACTGGTGAACACCCCCGTCCTGGAGCGCACAACCCGCCACCAAGTTCGTAGAGAACGAGGGGAGGTGGGAGACCTAACAGTGTGCCCGACGGGACCGCAGGACAAGGAAGGACAGTGGAGGAGGTCGCAATGACCGGACCCCCAGAGGGGTCAGCGAGGGAGACAACAACTGGCCGAGCAAGCGGCTCAAGGACAGTGCGGTCACGAAAGAAACAGCGAGAAGCATCTGAGTCCAGTGTGAAGGTGTGCAGTGCCTCAGTCGACTCAGTACCAGGGGGCGTAGACTCACTAGCACCTAGAGCAGCAGCCTCACCAGTACCTGGGGTAGTAGACACGCGAGTACCTGGAGTGGCAGCCTCACAAGCACCTAGAGCGGCAGCCTCACTGGTCTGAATGCCCGGGTCGGGCGGAACACGCAGGTACTGAGCACCCTCTCCACTAGTAGACATCACATACATGGCAGTGAGAATAGCATCAAAGTCTAGAGCATAGATATCAATGTTCTTCTTCATCAGATCAGCCTAGCGGGGCAGCTCAGTGGCATCAGGGAACTGAGTACGCCAAGCGTCGTCAAGGCGAGAGAAGCAGCGCTGCGTGGTGTGCGCCCTCCCACAAGTCTGACCAGTGCGGTCACCAGTGCGGATGACGTACGTGCAGCTAAGGCCACCCCCCCCCCCGTGCTGAAAGTACCACTCACGGAGCTCCTGGGGCGACAGAGTGTGCTGCTGGCTCTGGCCACTGCCAGCGCCTCCACGACCACCACCGCCGCCACCTCCTCGACCACCCCCTCCCCTGCCGCCGCCGCGTCCACCGCCGCCCCCACCACCGCCCCCGCCCCTGCCACCTCCCCCGCCGCTGCCGCCACCACCCCCACCGCTGCCACTAGTCCCACCAGTCCCACCACCACCCCCACCGCCGCCACCGCCCCCACCACCGCCTCCCCCGCCGACACCTCCGCCTCCCTTGCCCCCTTTGCCCTTGCCGCTGCGGCGCCAGCTCGAAGCAGACGCAGTCGCGACCTTCTCAGCACCAAGGAGGTCGACAGCAGAAGCAGAGGCTACAGAGGGAAGAAGGGGGGAAGGGGAACACCCCTCAAAGAAAGGGGTGCGGGGGTCGCCACGAGAGGCACCTACAGCGACTATGCTAGCCTTAGTTGCAAGGAGTGCCTTCTCGAGGAGGGCAATGGTGAGCTCAGTGGGGCAGCGAGCTAGGAAGTGATCCCTGACTGCACGCAGAGTGTCAGGGAGGCGGGTGACTAGGTGGTAGAGAGTGAGCCAGTGCGGGGGGGGGTTCGTGGCAAGAAACTCATCGGGCATGGCGGCACGGAAGCGGGCCTCACTAGTACGGAGGTGCGTGATGAGGTCAGCGACTGTGTGGAAGGAGGCGAGGTCGGGGAACAGGTAGGGGAGTGAGAGACGGCCTAGTGCGGCAGAGGCAGGTGAGGAGTAGCGGGCAACGACAGAGTGCCTGTGCAGTCTTGTGCTGGCCAAAGTGCTCGCGCTCATCGATCGGCAGGGAGTTGCGAATAGCAAAGCGAGCGTGAGCGTCACGAGTCTGCCACTGTGAGCGGGCCGTGCTGTCAGCAGTAGCAGTAGGGGCAGTGGCATGGCCTAGGGCGTGATCGTACAGTGAGATGTCTTCCTTGGCAGTGAGCTGTAGGAAGAGGTGCAGGTCATCTAGCCAGGTGTCAAACTTCACTGGGCGGCCCTCAGCATCGAAGGCTAGCACAGGAGGGCTAGCCATAGCAGCAGTAGGAGCAGCAGTATAGTAGCAGTAGGAGCAGTAGGAGAAACCCAAAAGCAGTAGGGCGGCTCGGTCCAGAGAGGACTGTGCAGTACGGGGAGGGCGGCGCGGTTCGGTTCGGGCGGCTCGGTTCGGGCGGCGCGGCTCGGCTCGGGCTGGGCGGCTCGGTTCGGGCGGCCTGGTTCTGGCGGGGCCGTGGTCGTCGCGTGCGGGGTGCGAAGGGGCGGCGTGTGGGGTCGACGGGGCCACTAAGGGGTGGGCGCGCGCGGGGTCTACGGGGCCAACGGGGCCGCTAAGGGACGGCGCGCGGGGTCGAGGGGGCCAGCGGGGCCTCTAGGCGGGGTGCACGTGGGGTCGACGGGGCCAGCGGGGCCACTAGGCGGGGCGCACGTGGGGTCGACTGGGCCAGCGGGGCCTCTAGGCGGGGCGTGCGCGGGGTCGACGGGCCGACGGGGCCTCTAGGTGGGGCCGACGGGGCCTCTAGGTGGGGCGCGCGGGCCGACGGGGCCTCTAGGTGGGGCCGACGGGGCCTCTAGGCGGGGCGTGCTCGGGGTCGACGGGCCGACGGGGCCTCTAAGGGGCGGCGCGCGGGTCGCTAAGGGGCGGGTCGCGGGTCGCGGGGCCTTAAGGGGCCGTTAAAGAGGGGCGCACGAGGGCGCTGGGGGGGAGGCGTTCGAGGGCGCTCCGACAGTAGGGCGCACGAGGGCGCTAGTAGGTAGAGAGAAACGGAACGGTGGGCCCTTAGGAACGTTCGGTCCTAGGTTCCTAACCTAGGCTCGTAATACCATGTTAGAATGAGAGGAGTGTTTGACTAGGAAGAAGTGAGAGTACAAATAGAGTTGTGAACCCCCTATAGGCTAACCCACTACAGCCTACACAAATATAACAAGTATAATGCTTGACAACATGCTCCATCCAAACACACCTTAGTGAGGTACCCTCTCAGCCCCTCGTCCACATTGGCTCTGCCCAGCACGAGCAGAAAGCCCCCTCCGCCCCCCCGCTGCCTCGACCCGTCTCCCCTCCCCTTGCCCCGCTCCAACACCCCTTCCATTGGCACCTTCTCTTCTCCCCCTCCCCCTCCTCCTCCCTCCTTGCTGTCCATCAGCAGTGCTCTCCTTCCGCCTCTCATCCTTTCCCTTCTCCCCCCCCTTGTCCTGCGGCTGCTCCCCCCCTCCCCCCTTGTCTGCGCACCCAGGACAGCAGCTGGGCGAAGAGGAAGGCGAGCACCATGCGCAGCCGCACTTGGATGTTTTGTAATGCAAGGTTTTCAGCTGACTTGCCTCCGTTCAGCTGGTTGAAGGGGGTGGGAGTGAAGGGAAGGAGAGAGCAGCGAGAAAGGGGAGGCGGATGGGCATGTCAAGGCAAGGAGAGGAGAAGAGGAAGGCGAGCACCATGTGCAGCCGGACCTGAATGTTCTGCAGGGCGAGGTTTTCCGCTGATATGCTGCCGTCCACCTGATGGGGGGGGGAGGGCGGGGTGGGGTGGGAGGGAGAAGCGGAAGGGAGTAGCAGTAGGAAGAAGGCAGGGGAAGAAGAGGGGGAAAATAGGCATGCAGAGATAAGGAGAGGCAAGGAGAAATGCGAGCACCATCATAGGCGTGCGTGTATGTTCTATAAGGCCAGGTTCTCCGGAAGAGAGCCAAAACGAGGATGGGAAGCTCTTTAGTGGGGCTGCACGGATAGTGGCTTCAAGAATAGTAACTCAGCTGCCCCACCTTTTAGCGCGGGCGCCAGCAGTGAGGAATAGGGCAGGCACTGACTGGTGAGGCAGCAGGGAACACAACACAGACAACATGCTTATGTCATGCTCCTTGCACACTTCTTTGCCCCTCTCCTCCCCTAAAACAGCTCTCGCCCCACCTTGTATCTGTCGCAGGCCGGTGACAGTGAGGAAGAGAGCGGGCAGTGGTGGTAGCAGGGAACACAACACAGAAAGCATGCCCATGACACACGTCTTACACACTTTTTACCACCCCCTTTTTCACTCCTCTACCACCCACCTTGTAGCGCGGGCGTAGGCCGGTGACAGTGAGGAAGAGGGCGACCACAGCAGCCACCACGGAGTCAATGCTCGTGTCTAAGTGCCATGCTCCTATCTCCGATGCCAGCTGCTTCGCTCTTAATCGTGTGGCCTGGGAGCTGTATGCGAGAGGGTGAGAAAGGAGAGATGGGGATGAGAAGAGGGCCACGACAGCAGCGACCACAAAGTCGATGCTCGTTTCTAAATGCCATGCTCCTATCGTCGCGGCTAGCTGCTTCACACGTGATCGCGTGGCCTAGGAGCTGTGTGTGTGAGGGGGTGAGGGGGAGGAAAGAGGGACACAGTCATAATAGCAGCGACCAGGGAGTCTATGCTCATGTCTAAATGCCATGCTCCTATCTCCGATGCTAGCTGTTTTGCTCGTGCCCTTGTTGCACTAAAGCTGTGTGTGTGGGGGGTCGGGGCGAGGGGGAGAAGAGGGATACAGAACAGATATGGCAACAGATACCACGGAGTCTATGCTCGTGTTTAAGTGCCATGTGCCTATCTCCGATGCTAGCTGCTTCGCACATGCCCTTGTAGCTTGGGAGCTGTGTGTGTGTGTGTGGGGGGGGGGGGGGGGGGGGGGTTGAGAGGGGGGTGTGCGAGGGAGGAGAGAGGGGGGAGAGAAAGGGAGCAACGACAGCAGCGACCACGGAGTCTATGCTCGCGTCTAGGTGCCATGCTCCTATCTTATCTCTGAGGCTAGCTGCTTCGCTCGTGATCGTGTGGCTTGGGAGCTGTGTGCATACGTGAGGGCATCGAGGAGAGATAGGTGGGAGGTGAGAGGAAGGGGAACAGAGGGGTCGGGAAAAGGGGAAGCACAAAAGGATATTCGGCACCCATAGAGAAGGTACTGACCTGCTCATGGTGTCCAAATAACGATTGCCCGAGGATACATTTAGAGGCTATTAAAGTCATATTTTTCTTATTCGATGGGTGTGGAACCAATGGAATATAATGGGTGCGGTCCAGGCACTAGCCTTTAGTCAGTGAACATGCAAATGGTGTTCAGGAGAGCACAGGATTAGGTAGGTAGGTAGGTAGATAGGTAGGTAGGTAGGTAGGTAGGTAGGTAGGTAGGTAGGTAGCAACAAACATGTTCTTCGTGCCCATGTAGATGGTGTGCAGGATGCGGTCTGCCAGCCTGGCTGGCAGCATGCCAAGTTTTGAGGCGCCTCACAAGTAAACAAAAATGAGGCGCCGAATATCTACAAGCGAACCTATTCTCTGTGCCCATGTAGATGGTGTGCAGGATGCGGTCTGCCAGCCTGGCAACATGCTGCTTCTGCTCCTCTGCAGTCTCCCCTGCCGCCAGCTGTAGCCCCGTGATTCGCTCTGCGTCCTGCCGCACCTGCTCGTTGCCCTCCGCAATCGCTGTGAGCAGGTAACGTAGGGCTGAGAGAAGGGACGTGCGTGAATATGAATGGCAGCCATGGAGGGGCTGTCAGCAGCAAGGAAGCATAGTATTCCGTAGCACCCTGTAGCACCCCACAGCATCACATACCACCGCATCATATATTTAGCGACCAGCTGGCACATGCGCCCCACGATGGCGGCCACAGAGAAGCTGTCAGCGCTGCCCGAGAGCCAAAGGACACCCCAAAGCACCGCATAACACCGCATCACACCTTTAGCAACCAGCTGGCACATGCAGCCCACAAAAGCGGCCACCGATGAGTTCGCACCGCCAGACAGCGGTGGCAGGAAGCTCAAGGCTCCGGTGCGACACAGATTGTCCCACAGCAAGCACGCCATAGCACCTCACAGCATCACCTTGCACTGCATTATGCCCCATTGCACCCCATAGCACTGCATCACACCTTTAGCAACCAGCTGGCACATGCAGCCCACAAAGACAGCCACGGATGAGCTGTCAGCACCGCCCGACAGCGGCAGCAGGAAGCCCGAGGCTCCACTGCGCCGCAGGTAGTCCCACAGCCAGCACGCCATAGCACCCCACAGCATCACCTTGCACCGCATTACATCCCACAGCACCACTCCACACCTTTAGCAACCAGCTGGCACATGCACCCAACAATAGTGGCCACGGATGAGCTGTCAGCACCGCACGACTTAGTCTTGAGAGGGTACACCCACACCGCTTGCGTGTAGTCATCCACGATGGTCAAGAAGTAGCGGCTGCCCGAGAGAGAAGGGGCCCTCATAGGGCCCACCACGTCCATGTGCACAAGCGCAATGGGGTCTTGGCTGGTCCTGTGGTGCCTTAAGGGAAACTTTGTGAACTTGGTCTCAAGGCACGTAGGGCAGCTCCCAATCTCCTTTGCTGCCCCCTTCACCTCCAACCCCTTCAAGCTCCCATCCTTCACCAACTTCTGCAGGTTAGGAATGTTGATGTGACACAGCCTCTCATGACACATCTCCCAATCGGCCTCACCACTCCCAGATGAAGCCTTTGCCCATGCAGCTGTCACATCCACACCAGCAAGCACCTCACCATGTGGTTGCTGTGGCTGCTGCACCTTCTTGACTGCATCCAGGGCCCCATCAGTTGGTGCAGTCTCCTCTCTTCCCGCAGTTGCTTTAGCCGTTGCTGCTGCCGCTGCCATTGCTGGAAGTTTCCCGTTCCAAGGGATGATGGGCAGCTTCCACAGGTTCTTGATGCAGCTGCTCTTCTCCTCTAGGTTCCATAGCACCAGCTTCCCAAGCTTCCCACGGCAGCTGGTTGGGCCAAATGTAACTTCAGCCCTGCTCTTCTGCAGCCGGCGAACAGAAAGAAGGTTAGCGGACAAACCTTCAACCAACAACACGTTCCCAAGTCCCACAAGCTCCCCATTGGCTCCCATCACCTTGGCATTCCCAACACCAATCATAGGGAGCAAAGCACCTGAAGCGGCAGCCACAGACTTGATCTTCCCGCAGGGCTTTACCTCGTCAAGCAAATCTGCCCGTGGGGTCATGTGACATGTGCAACCTGAGTCAATCACCCAGTGAGTGAGGGGGTGCATCATAACCTTCCCAACTGAACCCACATCACCCCCACTCCCTTGCACATCCTCAACCATGGGGAACATCCCAGGGTCGGCTTTACCTTGTGGACCTTCACCATGTGCACCTGAACCTTGCACAGCGCCACCTTATGCGCGTTCACCACTTGGCGGCTTCATGCATGGAGGCACCCATCCTTCAGGCCGGCTGAAACACTTGAAGCACAGGTGTCCAGCCTTCTTGCAGTACCAGCACGCACCCTCCATTCGGGTGCTCCCCCTGCCACCAGAGCTTCCATGCCCCTCGTTATAGTCACCTCGGCCTATCCCTCTGCCAAAAGCCTCTCCCATGGCCTCGGCCTCTCCCACCTGCAGCTCCATACCCCTCAGAAGTCTTGTTGGCAGCACCACCACCCGTGTGGCGCCTTCGGAAGTCCTCCTGCAGAATCTGCTGCCGTAGCCACTCTGGTGTCCATTGGTCCTGCTGAGTGTTGAGGGTGGGGATGAGGTTGTCCCACGAGTTGTCGAGCACCGAGATGATCTTGGTGCACTGCTGCATCTGCGACACATTGCTGCCCGCCGCCGCCATCCTCGCATAGGTGTCCTTGATCTTATAAAGCACCGGCTTCATATCGTCTCCCGGTCGCATGGAGAGGGCAGCCAACTCTTTCTCCAACACAATCACCATCGGCAGCGTGTTGGGCTGAATCACGCCTTCGGCCCGGAGTCATCCTGCTCCACCAAATCCTTGGTATGCTGGAACATGTCGTTGTTGACTAATTGAATGATAAGGTCAAATAGCACCTCGCTCTTCTCATCCAAGAAACGCCATCGACGAAAAACGCACCGTTAAAACTTCACCAATTTCGGATATGTTATTCTGGAACGCACTGTTGAAACTGCGGAGAGTCACTCTACAATGGTAGTGAGCTAGACTACGGGGGTTGGCACGAACTACCAGGAGTGATCGTAGCTTTGCTTAGTTCCTTAGTGCTTGCACATACACAGGAGAAATGGGCAAGAGTTTCACTAGGCAAAGTTGGAATTACAAAATTGGTTGAACAAGCAATGACAACAATGACTACATCAGGCACCTAGCAGCTCTGCAGCTAGCCTGGTCGACTACCAGCACAGCTTGGTCGTCCGCCTGCCAGCGTTGCGTAGAGGAGCCGCGCCAGCACTGCAGAAAGGGCGACCTACCAACGCTGTAGGTCGACGGCGTGCCAACGCTTCAGCAAAGCGGCTGTCCAGCGCTGCCCCGTAGATGACAACAGTGCGCATGCTCGCAGGTGTGTGCAGACGATTGGCCTGACTTGCGTTGCTGTGCATCCGTCGGCTGTTGTCTGCGCCTGACGAGCCACGTCGACTTTGGGATACCAGCTCGAAGTCGCCTTCGCCATCGCGACCTCGTGGACGTTCGTGTGCCTCCGCAGAACTCGTCGAGCAGGTTATCCGGTCGACCTGGTCGACCACCAGGTGCTCTGGTCGACCACCACTGCCTCTGGTCGACCACCAGGGGCCTCTAGTCGACCACTAGGTGCCTCTGGTCGACCTCAGCTCCTGTCGAGCTACCCTCAGCTCTTGTCGACCAGAAATGTCAGCGGTTGTCGCCGAGCTCACCTCGTCGACCACTGCTCACTTGTCAGGTCGACGGACTGCTCCGTCGACCTTCCGGTCGAACTGCCCCTCCTGGTCGACGGCCCACCCGCCGCCCAGACCAGTCAGTTGCAGCTGTTGAGCTCCCTGGTCGACAACAACACCACAGCGGTCCCCTGCAACTCGACGAAGCCTGTCGAGCAGCTCTCCCACTGTGAACGGTCGACTGCTACTCCCGTACATCCGACCAAGTCGTCGGCGTTGCCCAAGCGAGGGCGGGGCCAACACTCCATTCCCGTTAACACTTTCTTGCCGCGCTCACGCTTGGGCCTCCAGCCCACACGGCAGTACTCCACGGAGAAAACTCGTTCTCGGCGTGCACCACACACACCGCACGCCGTCACCGCACCAGCCGTGCAGAAGGGCACGGCACCTACTACCGCACCTCATCGTCGCCGTCGCCGACGTCGGCCAGACGAACTTGGCCGATGGCGACAGAGCACCGGTTGGAAGCCGGAAAATGCAGCGCCTTCGTCAGGAAGTCAGCCGGCTGCTCGATGGTCGGGATGTACTTCAGCACGAACTTTCCGCGCCTCACCATGTGCTGTAGCCAGGCATAGCGTCCCTCCATGTGCTTGAGGTTGCCAGTCAGCCCCAAGCCCTCAGCGACCGTGATTGCCGACGTGTTGTCTACACGGAGGACAGTCGGCTTCCCAGCATCGAGGTGCTTGAACTTTGCAAGGAGGAAGCGAAGTCGACGCCCCTCCTTACCGGCGTCCGTGGCCGCGACGTACTCCGACTCGATCGAGGAGAGCGTCGTGCACTTGATGCGCTGGCTCGACCAGGAGACCGCGGCCCCTCCGAAGATGAACACGTAGCCTCCTGTGCTCGTCCGGTTTTGCTTGTCGCCCGCATCGTCGGCATCCACGTAGCCGATCAGCTCCAGCGACTCTGGTCCACTGCCGAACTCCAGGGCGGTGTCGCGGGTGTCAGCGAGATAGGCGAGGCAGCGGTTGTCCTCGCGCCAATGCTGGTCGCTCCTCACGTGAGGCCACTCCCCAGCTTGCTACACGTGAACGCGATGTCCGGCCTCGTCATCGTCGCCGCGAACTGCAGCGAGCCAACCTTCTGCCGGTACTCCTCCTCCTCGCGTTCGTGCGCCTCCTCATTGTCGAACGTCAGCTTAGCGTAGGCGTCGACCGAGACCGGCGTCTTCGGGACTCGCCCGCCCTGCTCCTCGTCGATGAAGCGCCTGCGCAGCTTGTCGCTGTAGCCCTGCTGGTGCAGCCACAGCTTCCTTGCCAGCCTGTCGTGCACGATCTCCAGCCCGAGGTACTTCACCACCGGCGAGATCTCACACAGCTCGAAGGCGGCCTCCAGTATCTCCTTCAGCTCCTTCAGCATCGCGGTGCTGCTGCTGGCGGCGAGCAGGTCATCGACGTAGACCAGCACCCAGCATGTCACTCCGTCGTCGCCGGCTTTGAAGTAGAGCGCCTCGTCGACCTGGCTATTTTTCCAGCCAGCGCTCAGCAGCACACTGTCGAGAGCCCTGTACCACAGCAGCGGCGACTGCTTCAGCCCGTAGAGGCTCTTCAGCAGCTTACACACCCGGCCGGTCCCATCGTCAAAGTAGTCCGGCTGGTACGTGTAGAGCACCCTGTCGAGCTTGCTCTGCAGCAAAGCGTTCTTCATGTCGAGCTGCATCAGGTTGAGGTCGAGGACGGCGACGATGCTGAGGAAGATCCTCAGCGTGACGTAGCTGCTCACCGGCGAGTACGTCTCGTCGTAGTCAGCGCCGTACACCTGCGTGAAGCCCTTCACGACCAGCCTCGCCTTCTCGCGCTCGACCGTGTCGTCGATGCGGTACTTGGTCGTCAACACCCACCGGTTCTTCATGATGTTCACCCCGCGTGGGCGTTCGACCAGCTCCGAAGTGCCCATGCCGATGAGGCTGCGGATCTCTTCTTCCATGGCGGCCTTCACCGCCTCGCCCTTCCAGCTCGCCAACGCCTCCTTCACCGTCATCGTGGCGATGTCCTAGCGGTGTTCGGGGTCGGCATGCACGTCGGGGTCGAGCTCCAGTAGTTCTTCATCCTCCTCGACGTCGTCGTACAACAGGTGATCGTCGACCTCGTCGTACATTGTGGTGAAGGCAGCTGGCGGTAGGCAGGCGTGGAAGCTCAGCCGCTCTGGCGGTCGTCGTGCTCGACCTGTGCGTCGCAGCTCAGGCTTCGTGATCGGCACCTATACCACGTCGCTGTCGGTGGACTCCTCACCCGCCGACTGCTCCGCTTCCTCGTCGACGTCCTCGTCGTCGACCAGCTACTTTGATCCTTCGACCGGCTGCTCACCACCTGCTGACTTCGACCGCTCCCCTGTCGACTCCCCGGCTGCTGCTCCCCTGTCGACTGCACCCCTGCTGCT